ATGATGATGATGACGATGATGGTGAGTACAATCATTATCATGCTGCTGATAATGGCGTCGTTGTTGAGAATAGTAAGCAAAATAGCAACAACAACAACAACAACAGCAATCTAGGTTTGTTTTGTTCCCATTTTATTTTCTTTTATTAGTTTTTTCAAATTTCATTTAAAAGTTTTTTTGTTGCATGGTTCTGCATGCTCTCTAGTCTTTATGTTTTTTTATGTTTATTCATTCATTTGAACGTGCTTGCAGTCCTGTCTAACCTCTATTTGATATCATTTCTGCTGCTGCCATGTTATGTTATGTTCTTGTAATTGTTCACGCAAGTTGGTTCGTGTTTCTGGACCTCAGTTGGTTGCACGAAATAAATTACAATGGTAGACAGGAGGGGGGCGTCCTTAGTGAAGTGGCCACACAATTTTAATTAGCTTTATATTCATGCAGCCTTATTAATTTATATATAGCTAGTGGGACTTTTGAGTATTGGCGCGATGGGCTGTGTAGTGATTGAGACGATGTTGCAGTGGCCAGATTCGAATACAAAGAGATCCCAGCCGCTCACGAACAGTAGGCGTGATGCGTTGATAGATTTGCTTGCGTTTCCGTGCACTGTGCGTTTGTGTTTGAGGATAGAACTGAGAAATACTTCAGAGATGGAGAGTTCTAAAGGAAATGGTGAATCGCTTTCTTTGATCTTGTGGTGGTAGAGAAAAGTTATTATCTCTATCAAATTATGACCAGGGTTATTTAGTAATCATTAATTATGGTTAATTATGAGTAATAATTATCGTTGCCATTACCAGGGTGTGAAGGCGAGTCTGCAGAACGTGATCAGTCACTTTCCCAGGAGGAGGAAGTGTTCCAAGAGTTGATAAAGTCATAATGGTGTGGTGGTGGTTTTGTGATGATGTGGTGATGGTGGTGTGGTGATGGTATGATGATGTGATGATGGTGGTGATGCTTATTTTGGTTGATGTAAATGTCAATGGTGGATGGTAGTAAGTAGTAGTTGTGATGCAGCCAGATGGTAAGATCACCCATTTTTAATCACATAAACACTCATCTGTATAAATATTCACTAGGTTGCATTTTTATAAAGTATTTCATTA